AAAAAATAAAAAATTAAAATCTTTATTTTTACTTTTTCTAACGAGAGTTCAAATATCTTGCGTATATGATCCCTAGGCTCTTAGTAGTTTAGACCTTAAATTATTACATATCACTTCCTATAACTTGTATTCAAGTCTCACAAATTTTTTTTTTCATTTAATTAAATATATATTAATGATATGAGAGTTATTTCATTTATATATTTATATGTGGTATAAAAAATAGAAAATTTTTAATCTATAGACGAAAATCTTTGTCAAAGAACTAATTATCTTATATTTTTGTTTACTGCATTAAAGTTTTAGTTCTAAAAGTCTGCTTTTAGTTACTTAAAAATTTACTTGCCTTGTATTAAAAAGTCAAGTGCATTAATTTGTAATTTCCCGTCAAGCTTGTCTTTGTAAAAGTTTTGATTTTTTTTTTTTTTCTACTAAGTGTCAAACTACATTAATATAGTTGTGTTAAAGGTCAAGAATTTCTAAATTGTTATCTTTTCCCATTTACGAAGCTTTGCCTTCTTGTTGACTAATTTGGTCAAAAATAGTTTACTATTTTATCTTTTGTTAATATTTGGCTTTTTTGTTCTATCTTGTATTTACTTCCTTGTATGTTATTTATTTATTTATTAATGTTATAATATCTTATTATCTTCTGTCAATATTTATTACTATTTATATTTATAACTCTATCAAATACTGTTTATTATTACTGTTGATATTCTTATCTGTTACTATAATTTGACTTTGTCAAAAATTTTGTCTTTATAAAAATATATATGGGTTTAGATTATTTAGACTTAACTATTTCACATTCATATAAAAGACCAAAAATAACCTTAGGTAATCATAATATAGTGCATAGTTTTTCGGGTTTTAGTTATAATTTATATTCAGATAATAGTTAGTTAAATAGTATTGTAGACTTAATTATAAATTTTTCAAAAAATTATAAAAAAGAAAAAGAAAAAGAAAAAAAAAAGTAGTGCTCGAAATGTTCCAAAACTTTGAAAAGCATTACAACAAAAATATTGTGAGATAATAGAGAATCGAGATTACCTAGAACAACAAATTGAATTAGTCAAAAACATAGTAAAAAACAAAGTCAATTTAGTTAATTCTCAAATTTTGAGTAACAAGGGATTAGACCCTTTTGTTTAGAACTTCTGTCATCAAACAACTATGTTGATCCAAAAATCAAGAAGAGTTGTTAAAACAAGTCCAAAAATTTCAAAATTTAATTCTTGGTTTGAATGGGTGATATCCCTTTCACTCAAAATTCAAAGTATAGAGAAGCTTTAAAAGAAGTAGGAAAATTAGGAAATCCCTACAAATTAACCAATTTTCAACCCTTAGCAATCCAAGATCAGGTACTAGTAGGACAGCAAAATACCTAAATTATTTTGTTACTACGAATCCTTGAAAATCAAGAAGAAATCTAAAGTAAAATAAAAAACATAAAAGATCTTTTAAAAGACACTCATTCAAGAACCATAGAAATATGTCAAGAGACTAGGAGACAAGATCTTCTTCAAGAAGCAAGTGAGAAAATAGATCTAAAAAGAACCATTAGCATAAAAGAAGATCTTAAACAAATAAAATATAATCTTTCATCTTTATCCAAAATAAAGGCTAAAGAACTTAAAAGTCTCAAGAAATGACATTTTTTTACCTTAAAATCAAAAAATATGGAATCATCTAAAATCACAGGCAACCCTTTGATTAGGATGTTTTCTAAAGGAAAACAAATTCAAGAATCTATAAAAGTCAAAACTTTAATAGACCTTGAAGAACAAATTAAAAGATTTAAAACTCATAAATTTGACTTGGTCAAACCCAAGTGTCTATGCCAATTCCTTGTTTAATGCTGGATCAATCTTTCAGTATTATCAATAAGCTCAACTATTCTGTGTCAAAGACAGTAATAGTGTCACCCTAAGACTATTAAGTGAAAATGAATATTTTAATCTTGAAAGAATGAAGTATTCTTTACTCCACATAAGGTTGATTACTATAGGTGTCAAAGCACTTCATAGAAAGGGTTTAGGTACAAAATGCCTCTTAACTCTTTTGGACACAAGACATTAGGAAATGATTCAAGCCCTTATAGGATCTATCGAAATAGACCTATTAAAACAAAGGGTATTTGCTTATTTCACTCCCAATTTCCAAATGGATGTAAAAGCCTTTAAACAATTTATAAAAGTAGGAATCATGACTAAAGGCTATTCCATGGCTGAGGGAGAAAGAATCTTCTAGTTTGCATAGGATTC